TTTCCCTAAAAAAAAACCTTGGAAAGGCATTTCCTAAGAGGAAATAGTCAAACACCATAAAATATATCAAAAACTGTTCTCCTCGATTAATCATAAAGAAAATAAAAATTGAAACTTCAGTAAGCTACCAGTAAACTGCCACCAGAAAGGCTAAAACAAAACAAACATACAAACAAACAAAACCAGAAATCCCACCTATAAAGAAAGATGTGAATTAACTAGAACTGTCATTTCCTGTTAGTGGGAGTGAAAACGACAGTATTAGCTTTGGAAACCTTCTTAGACCTATCTAATAAAGCTGGACAAAGGCTTGCCCAGTGATTTAGTTCTCAGTCCTCTAACCACTGGAAATGCACACGTTTTCTAAATATGAAGAAAATTTATGTTCATAGCAGAATTATTTGCAATAGAAAATAAAACTGGAAAAACAACACAATGGAGACATTAATTGAGGTCAGTTATTGGGTGGAACATCATACAACAATGAAAATGAAAGAACTATAGTTACACATAAGTATGTAAATGAATTTCACAAACAATGTAAAAAAAAAGCCACGCGTAAAAGAATCAATTAAAATAAGCACCGTTTCATTATTTTAATGTTAAAAACAGGAAAATTTTACCTATTTTGATAGATGTCAGTATAGTGACTGCCTTAAAAGAAAGAGGAAGAAATATTGAAAAATCAAAAGAGGTGGCTTCTGGATGCTAGTAATTTTACCTGGGTAGTGGTTATGTCAGTGTGTTCTAATGTGAAAATCTAAGCTGTACAATTGTGAGTTGCACACTGTTATGTATGTTATGCTTCAGTAAAAGATTTACTTAAAATATTTAAGGACAAGTTCTTTATATTGACATCTATGTTACTAAGCCATCAGAAACGGTCTAGCCATAAAGCTTTCCATCTGGGCAAAAATTGTAGGATCTTTAGACAAATCTGAGATTAAATTTTACCTCTAATATTCACTATCAACATAAAATTTGACAGGTTTTTTAACTTTTCTGATTCTAATTTCTTAACATATGAAGTGAAGATATTATCATTTACTTGCAGGCAACTATGAGAATCAAAGAGATAAAAAAAATTTTGTAACTATGGGAATCAATGAGATAATTAAATCTCATAGGTATTCAGAAAATGAAATTACTATTCTCTACCATCATTTTATGTCTAAGAAAACTGAGATTCAGAGAGGTTAATCAAATTTTTCAAGATTTACAAGTATTAGAAAACTTAGATAAGTCCCTAGAATTCCATCCTAGTACTCTTACATTTAAAAAGCAATTCTCATTCCTTATTTTACGTCAAATCAAATGAGACTCAAGTCCAATAGTACAAAGATAATTCAATTGGTCTGGCGTGAGCACAGTATATTTTTCAAAGCTTCCCAGTTGATGTTAATGTGCACTATAATAAACATGTTCTGTATTGCCAGCATTAATGCAATTATTATAAAATTTAGACAAATGAGCATTTTTCACTTGCAATCAAATAATAGTATTCTTATTTCTAATATTTTAACATGCATCTGTTTTTCTATTTAAATTAGACATACTTCTCAACTTACAATGGGGTTACATCCCTATAAACCCACCATAAGTTGAAAATATCATTAGTCAAAAGTGCATTTAATACACCTAACCTACTAAATATCATAACTTAGCCTAGCCTACCTTAAACATGCTCAGTACTCTTACTTAGCCTACAGTTGACCAAAATCACCTCACACAAAGCCTATTTTATCCTGTATTATAATAAAGTATTGAATATTTCATGTAACTTATGTGTTTATGGCTTGCTGCCTTCATGCTGGACAATTACCTTGAGTTTCATATTAAGAGTAATTGCCTTCCTCTTCTTTTCACCAAAAGAAGATAGTTCATTTTTGTTGTTGAAGAATCAGTCCAGACACTAGATAGGGGTTCCGAGTAGAGTTATAAAATAGTGAATTGACCTCCTTTCTGCCATTGAATGCTCTCAAAAAAAGAAGTAATAGGAAAAACAGCCAAATATAAATTACAGAAAAATAGTTAAAGGGGAAACAATTTACTTATTTAATTGATACCGAGGCAAACATAGACTCTCTGCCAAGGCGAGTCTTCTCTAAAAAGGAAAACATAATGTTTAGGTGTGTATCTTGGATTTTCCTATGAATTCTAGAATTTCTAGGTCTATAAAGTAATCTGCATTCATTACTCAACCACCTACATAGACAAGGATAGCCAAAACCTCCCAATAGCCTGGGATGTTAAACTTATTACCATAGGAAAAGAGCAAGTACCAGAGCAAGAACATATGCACATGAGAACTCATCATTCACTCACAGTGACCTCAGCCACTAGCAAAAGGGGGTCCATTCAATATATCAGGAGCTAACCCATTTCTCGGGGAAAAGCTAGTGATTGGCTAGACAAAGGTGGATTTGAGAGTGGATATATCCCCCGTAGAAGTCAATGTGGTAGTGAAGGAACAGGGACTTGCAGACTGGGCTGCATATTTTCTTCTCTCTTCATTGTCACCATAACTATTTCAGTGAACGTTGGTTTGCTTTGCTATCTTTCCAACATACAGATAATCCAGAGACAATGACATGTACTTCTCTATTCCCCAGTGACAGACAATGTCTAAACAGCCATTTATGTGGACGATTTGGTTGCTTGGCTTAACATTTAAGGTCCCTGTGGACCACTTTTCACTTAAGTTAGTAGCTAAACCCCCTCTGTGATTATACAGTATTGTCCTGTATTTATAGATAGAGAGAAGGATTTCTATTTTTCTCTGTCTATGGTCCCAGGGAGATTAACATTTTACCAATGGTCCCATAGCTCACTCCCACTTTACTATAAAGTCCATGGTTCCAGAACTGTAACCTGTTCTTTTTCTGCTGGCAAAGAAGTAAATGGAAGCTCTTCTTTCACATAAAGTTGGTAAGGTGGTAGAGAAAGGTATTCATTGTGTTAGTGTTGAACTTTGCTATTTACAAATATTTATACGGGCTTACAGAAAAGTCAAATAACATTAAGGTCCACCCTGTCCTTAAAGATCTAGGTCACACACAGATATTCAACTCCTACTAGTTTATAGTTGAATATTGTAATATGAAGTAAACCCTGGGAACTGGAGATTAAAAAGAAACTGTAAAATACTACCATAAAAGGAATAGTAACATGTGTACTTATTACAGGGTATTTACTCTCAGGCTATAAACTTCACCAAGTACTTTTAAAAGCTGGATTGAAAAATATTAATATCATAATAACTTATATTGCTATTATTTTACTTTAAATCTTCCTAGAACTGATTTTAATGACATAAATATATTATCTTTAAAATTTTAAGTAAACAAGGCTTTAAAACATTTATAACATTTTTGTGCTTATTGGTTTAAATAACCCTCTTATTCCCTGCAATGTCTACTGAAAACCTCGACCTTATCTTCAAATCAGCATCTATCACTGTATATTACCTCCTAATAATTCACAAGGGAAAAAAGTAGGCATTAGGTAAAAAGGAAAAAAAAATCTAACATATTCTACAACATGGATGACTGTTGAAGACATTGCACTAAGAGAAATAAAAGATCACAAGAGGACAAATACTATATGGTTCCACATATATGAGATATTTAAAGTTTTCAAAATCATAGAAAGGGAAAGTAGAATAGTGATTGCCAAGGGCTGAGGGTAAGCAAGAATGAAGGGGGGTTATTGTATAAATTGAGTATAGAGTTTCAGTTTTACAAGATGAAAAGATTTATGGAGATGGATAGTGGCAATTGTTGCACAATGTTATAAATGTTTTTAAAACACTGAACAGCACACCTAAAAATAGTTGATGGCATATTTGGCCACAATAAACATATTTTATTCTATTTGTTAAAATATATATATTTTTATTCTATTTGTAGAAAAAAAAATGTAGCGCTCATGTCAGCATCCACCAACCTACCCACTTGCCACCTACTCACTATTGTGAATCACGCTTTACACTTAATTACCTACTACCTTCTTAAGGAATTTTCTATACCAATGAATCCCCATCATTCTATATTTTAATCTCTCATTATTTACTGTATCTTTAACCTCAGTTTATAAATACATTTCTCTAAGACTTTACAATCGTGCAAAAATCTTTCATCCACAGTCTTCTTTAGCCATGACTTATTTTCCTCCTTGTCTTCACCGACAAGTTTTTAAAACTAATAGACACTATGCCTCCACTACTTATTTTTCTATTCATTCCACAAGCCACTGTGGCAGGTTCTCACCTTTCAACGCTGTACTTCAACTATTTTTTTTCTAAGCAACTAATGTGTTCTCAGAGGCATTTAGTTTTAATACTTAGGAGATTTGACCACTCAAGCAATTCAACAGTTGTTCATGTATAACACCCAGTTACGATGGGTGGTGATTCTTGTTTCTGATGCTTCCTGTAAAGCTGCCTCACTTCACCTTGCTTTAGTGTTTATGAACCTTTCCAATAATTTCTACAGAGTTCCATCTTTATGGGTTTTCTCTTGTAAATCTAATCTCTGAAGTTGTTCACCTACACTGTTGAATTAAAATAGCATTTATACAATGATAACTTCCAAATGTATATTACCAGCAAATATGGAAATTTTTTTCTGGAGATAGCCACATGAGCACTACAGATCCATAGATATCTTTAAGTGGACGTCTGTTAATCATTTTATATACAACATATTGAATATGAATGCATTGGTATTTTTTCTCTAATCATTTAATCTTGTGATTTAATGAAGCTTTAAATTGTCAATATAGAAAAGGATTTTCTTTCAATATGTATAACATTATATGGAAATATTTACCTTGAATTTAAGAATATATATATAAGAATATATATATATTATAGATGGATTTCAGTTTTTTCAATGTTAGATATTTTTAGATAACTCTCTTAACCAAAAAATCTTATTTAGATATTTTTATGTAACCACATAATTTATTATTTCTATAGGATGTGAGCATTGTGAGGACAAATGCTACAAACCCAGGACAACATGGAGATCTTAAGTAATTTGTCATCTACATTTCCTATTTTCTCGTTGAGTGGTATTCCTGGCCTAGACTCTGTCCATAGCTGGATCTCCATTCCCTTCTGCTGTCTTTATGTCATTGCCCTCTCTGGGAACAGCATGATCCTATTTGTTGTTATTACCCATCAGAGTCTCCATGAGCCCATGTACTATTTCCTCTCCATGCTGTCAGCCACGGACTTGGGCTTGACTGTTTCTACAATGACAACAACATTAGCTGTCCTCTGGTTTGATGCAAGAGAAATCAGTCTAGATACCTGCATTACCCAGATGTTTTTCCTTCATGGATTTACCTTCATAGAATCTGGGGTATTGGTGTCTATGGCCTTTGACCGCTATGTGGCTATCTGTTACCCTCTAAGATACACTACCATTCTCACTAATTCCAGAATCATTCAGATGGGCCTCGTAATAATAATGCGCACTGTAGTATTAATAGTGCCACTACTTTTGCTCCTTAAACCCCTCCATTTCTGTAGAGAAAATGTTCTTTCCCATTCCTACTGTTACCATCCAGATGTGATTAAATTAGCATGTTCAGATACTTGGCCCAACAACATCTGTGGATTAATTGATCTCAGCCTGACCACAGGAGTAGATACGCCATGCATTGTTCTGTCCTATATCTTGATAATTCGCTCTGTGCTCACCATTGCCTCCTCTGAAGAACGACACAAAGTCTTTAGCACCTGCATCTCCCACATTGGAGCAGTGGCTATTTTCTATATCCCCATGATGAGCTTGTCCTTAGTGCATCGCTATGGTCGATCAGCCCCCAAAGTGGTTCAATCGATGATGGCCAATATATATCTGCTTTTGCCCCCTGTGCTCAACCCCATCATCTATAGTGTAAAAACAAAACAGATTCGCAAGGCTATACTCAAGCTTCTCTTTTCAAAATAAATAGTAGCTTTCACTGTAGAAGAGCAACCCTGGTAGATGACTGCCTATCAGATATTTTCTCATTTTGTTCATTTATTCAACCAATATTTAATAAACATTTTTGCGTTTTCAGTTGTAAAATATTTGTACATATACCCAAGATTTTATGGTTCAATAAAGGAATCACAAGAAATAATAATAAAATAATAAAAATAATATTCATAGTAATTAATACTTGTCGACTTTTATTTTATAATACTACTTTTAAAATATATTCCATTTATTCTTCAAAATAGCTCAACGAAATTATTAATTATAGTATAGAAATGAAGAAACTGAGGTCTAGAGATGTTTAAGTCATCAAAGTTCAGACATCTAACATGGATCAAGGTTGAGATTTGAATCCAGTCTTTCTGTGTCTTAGACACCATGCTCTTCATATTTTGCCAAAAGCATCTAGGAAAAACATTATGAGATCAAAAATAAGAACTTGATCTTCATGTCTATATGTCATGCCATGTGTTGTCGTTCTTAGAATATACTTTAGCCTATTCTCTTAATTCCAAATTAATAGTACAAAAGGAGGAATAGATATGTAATGACATGTAAGCCATATGTCTAGGCTATTACATATACATGTTACTTAGTATAATTCTCAAGGCAAAGAATTTGTGCTCGGCTTAATATGCAGAGCAGGCTGGAGGTAAATACATTTAATTAACATTATAATAAGTTTCAGTAGCTCAAGAGTGCACCATTAAAAATACACTCATATGAGAATTTTGAGAATCTGAGCGGCTCATCCCATAGGTCACAGGTAGAAATAAAAGACAGTAACAACAACAACAAAAAGTATAGCTGTGTGCATGTATTTTTCCATACGCTATGTACATCCTGATTCTTTCATTTATGTATATCTGTTATGTTCTCTGTTTTCTCTCTCCTCAGTTGATCCATCCAGTACACTGCTATTTTTTCAATTTATGGAAAAAATGAACCAAAATTTTTCCTTCAGAAGGATGGATCTAGTTGAAATCTCAAACTTGAAGTAAAATGCTTGCTTATCTTTTTCATTAGCCAGGTTTCTAACTAGACTTGTATTCTTACCATTCCTCTGAAGCAACAGGTTAACTTCAAGTTGAATCATTCTACTTCCCAATCTAAAATATCACATTCTTTCTCTTTTGCTTTTAATTTACATTGTATTCATAGTTCCATTCCTTTTTATGAACCATTCTTTAACCAATCAAATAAAGTGGCTGAGGAAACTGAGCTGGGATACACAGATGATATAAGGCCAGAAGGCCTACTGTAGGGTGAATTCCACAAGAGGCCCGGAGGACACTACTTACTAAGGTTGTTAGGAATAAGCTGTGGAAATGATACCAGCATCACTAAGAAGTTGAGAAGCAGTTCTCCTCTGCCAGCAAAGGATGACAGTAGGAGACGTGGTCACCAAGTCAGGATCATTACTATTCATATATATGATGAGGCCTTGACATAATAGAAGCCAGAGAGTAGTGATTAGTCACCAACAACCAAGGGGCTGCAATTATCTTAAGAACCAACAAGGTCCAAAGGGCAGATGAGAGAGTTTAACATGAAAGTAGTTGTGGAGGTGATCAACTGAGCATGACATCCTTGAGGTAAAATAGACAAGCAGCCAACAAGGAAGGGGCTATGTAACTTTTATTACAAAAGAAGGCAGTGGATGAGAAGGAGGCTGGAAGAACTGTTATACATTGATGTAAGCCTGACCTTGAGTTACAGGTGGAAGGAAAAAAACTTCTTGGTAGAAGAAATCATCTTGGATTCTAGTACAATTCAAAACAGAGTTAATCAAGGCCTTTGTGTACCCTCAAGTCAAAGTCACCTGTCAGAGTCCTGTGCCCTCCAGGAATGGGCCTGCGTTAGTTCCCCCACCACACTCAGTGATTGTCTGGAAGCAGCTTGTGAGAAATGTGGCCTCTGTGGAATGTGATGATGAGTTTAAAAGAGCTCAGCACCTAAGATTGTTATTCTCTATAACCTAAGATGTGACGGGCACATTTTAATAACCAGCACATCTCAAATTAAGAGATAAATAGGTACAGCAATACAAGGAGGACCCAAACAATTGAAACTTGAGACAGAGAAGCCCAAGTAGCTCAGAAGTTTAACAGTCTGCCATTTCCCAGTCTTCATGTGCCTCTCTTGAAGTTTCAAATACTCAGGAAATAAAGTGTCAGGGTGAAGGATATATGGAAAATTTATTATTCTTTTTGTAGCTTTTTATAACTCAGAAATTATTTTGAAATATAATATTAAAAGTTCTCATGAGAAAGTATCTTATTGGCCCTGCTTGGGTCAGGTATCTAAGTCCCCAGTATTGTTCAATCAGGTTCGTGTGTATGGGCCAGGTAGTATTGGGCTCACCTTTGTATTTGGAGCTATTATCAGAAAGGGGGATTTTTTTTTTTTTTTGGCCAAAGAAATATCCAACGCCACTCTAACATCCACTCATTTTTCAACAGAGTGCATTAAGAACATTCGATTAGTGACAAATGTCTTTAAGGCAATGGTCATGAGCTTGGAGATTAAATGATTGACTAAGCAGAAGAATATTTTCAACTTTAAATTTTCCCTTTCAGCAAAACCACTCAAGACAAAAGTACCAAGGATTACAAAATCACTGATTAGATAAGTAACAGAATAGTTATATAAAACTACATAGGATTAAACACATGCATTAACATGTCATATCTTTCCTGCAGGCCAGCAGAGACAGAATCAGACATTTTGAAGCAAAGATTAAAATGTTATCAAGATCAAAAACTTACTCTATTAGACATAGAAACAACAAAATGTCCCTCGTGTATAATTTAGGTTCTTCATAAAATTTTTGTATTTATTATATTACTTATTCTGACAATTACTGTTTTATAAATTTAATTTAATACTAATATTTTGTTACTTAAAAGAAATAGTGCTATTTATCACTAAACTTTAAGAAAACTCATAATTCTTACTCTGAGAAAATTTATGAGAGTTAAATAAAATATGCAGGAACAATTACAAAATGTCTATAGTTATAGTAATTTAAATCTGTTTCTGGCTCATTGCCAAACAGAAAAGAAATCCATTATTCAGAACTAATTTTACAGAATTATATATTTATTTGTTCATTATTTATTCATTCAGTGAATATTTATCAACACCTACTACGTGTAAAAATAAATAAAACATGATCCTGAAGGACATGTACTCTCATGAAGTATTTGCATCTTTCTGCGGAAACAATCCACATGACTCACCAATACCTCATGGTCAGCAAGATCAAAACCAAATTTATTTTTTCTTTTACAAATAATCCAATCCTTCCATTGATGAGTGAAATCATTTCTGATAATGAAGGGTGTAAGGCGATTAAAAGATTTTGTTCTTTGAAAACACTTAACCAAGTGTTCCTCTGAACCTTGGCATTGTGTCTTTCTATTTAAATGTCTATTTGATCTAAACTAAAAAAATTTTTCTCCTTTTGTGATGCCATCCTTCTTTCAACAAATCAAGCCTGATTTACTGATATCATCTTTGACTTTTCTATCTTCAACATTGAAACTGTTACCATATAGAATAATTTATTTGATGCTGCACTTAATAAATCTCATTTCCAACTCCACAATCCTGTGTCTTCAGAATCTCTCTTTACTATAAGCATCTTCTGTCAGGTTTCTTTATCTCTAATCTTCTTCATTGCAATTTATCCTCCATGTAAATGTCAGATTAATCTTATAATGGAATCACAACATTGCTTAAAATAACTTTAAAAAACTTGTCTTCTTATTCAAATTGTAAACATTTCATCAGCCAAGAAAACACTAAATCTTAATCCTGTGTATTTTTCCTTAAATTTTTCAGAGATTATCTAGTTTATTCCATTCTACAGATGAAGAAACTGATGCCCTTAGCTATGACGTCTTTTCTTTGAGGCCACAGTTAGAAGAGCAAAGTTTCCTGGTTTTCTGGTTTTCTGGTTATCTGATGCAGGATTTTTGGAACTCTATTATGCTCCTTCTTTCAATGATGGAAACGCTTACACTATTTGCTGCCATCCATGTTGTCTTTTTCCCCCACCCCCTCCATTTTCTGACTTATCTAAAAATATATAACAAAATTATAGATATACAGATTTCTATGCAGTGAACTTGGGAGTGCAGATATTTCTCTGAGATCCTGAATTGCTTTGGATAAATACCCAGGGATAAAATTGCTGGAACATATTGTAGTTTTGTTTTTAATTTTTTAAAAATCTTCAATTTTTTTTTTGGGGGGGGGGCTGTAACAATTAAATTCCCACCATCAGTGTACAGGGCTCCCTATTCTCCACATGCTTACCAACATTTATCTTTTTTTATTTTTTATTTTTATATAATAGGCATCTTAACAAGTGTGAAGTGATATTTCATTGTGGTTTTATTTCCATATTCCTGATATTGAGCAGCTTTTCATGTACCAGTTGGCCTATAGTTAACAATACTGTAGTATATACTTAAAGTTACTCAGAGGGTAGATATTATGCTATGTTTTTAACCACAAAAAAATAATTATAACAAAGGGGGTGGGAGGAAACTTTGGGAGGTGATGGATATGTTTATGGGCTTGATGGTGACGATGGTTTCACGGTTGTAGATTTATTTCCAAATTCAAGTTATGTATACTAAATATAGTTTTTTAAATGCCAATCATACCATAATAAAGTATTTTGAAAAATATTTCTATGCAAGTTCTACTGAATAAATTTGCTAAATTAATTAGCAATCTTTATTTCTTCTGTAAAACTAATGCTAATAACCAGTTGCTCACTCATAGCTCTTTCTCCAATTATCAAGTACTCAATGCCCCCAATAAATGAACTATAGGCTACTTTTTTCTCAATCATTATAAGTATTACAATGAAAATTACATACAGTATATTAAAGATATGGTTTATAAAATAAATATAATATGGAATTCCAATTTGTAAAACTATATTAGAAGTCTCT